TTACTGAAAAATCAGAAACAAATGCGTTTTGCAGCGAATATCCGCCCTCATCCAAATGCGTAAATGAGCATTAGTTCATTTGTCTACTTGGATTTTTTGACGAACGATCAGTCTAGCAACGTTTCCACTTTTTAGTGAACTGGAAATTAGCACTTTTTCAAAAAGCGAGCATTTACCGAAGAAACGACCGGGCTTTATGCAAAAAACTAGTAATCATGTACTTGGAGGTCTATGCGGCCTCATAATGCAACACATTCATCCCAACCGGCGCCCTTTCTCCTGTATGCCGAAAGAGGCCAGACAGCGGCCAATATGAGCCCAAGTGTTAGGCTACAGCACAGGGGCCGTTCCTACTATTAGCTATCTGCGAGTTTAGTACAAAAAAGCATGATCGCACCAGCAAGCCTGGCGCATTCCAGCTTGAGTTCAATAAAAATTTCGCAGAGATAACTGTTTTTGCATAACTGGTAGCAGAACCACTGCGAAGTTGGGAAAGAACGAAATCCGTATTGGAACTGATAAAATTATAGCAGACGTTGAAACAGAAAATTCGTTTTCTTTTAAGACTTCGAAGTTACTATTTCAATTATCCTGTTGTAGTTTTATCAGTTCCAGCGCCGCTTTCAGTATCAGCTTTGCTTTCTTTATCACTGATTTTTGTTTAGATTGTCGAAGGAGCAGTAGCAACATTTTTCAACTGCGAAGAATTCGAAACCACTCCGAGCGTCCGTGGTCTCTTAGTCGCGCATATTTTAGTCAACGCACCTCGCACAAAATCTTCAGTGGAATCAATTTCTCACTGGCTGGCCAGAGTGAACACGTTTCCAACTATAATAAGACATATCGCACGGAAGCTCTGCCTCGGTTACTACAATAAAATACTACCCGAGCTGAAAGCAAATACCATCCTGACGCCGGCTGCGCTCTGCGTCATTACGCTTCATTTGCCGTATGATCAGCGCGACAAATGGACACTCCTTTATTCCACGTAAATTTACTTTGCTTTTTTACATGTACATCATAGAACTGAATAAAAGTAGGGCGTATTAACAACGGATGAAAGAAGACGAACAGTAAAAAAGGTTGGAGATGAGAATTACAAAATAAGTAAATCATACGAACTAATTTAATTGACATACATATAAGTAAATTATAAGAATTGTAAATTATAAGAATCTCTTTAAAAAGGGCCACCGACAACCTTGCTAGCAAGTGGATGAAGTTAACACCTGCTCTGCACTGAACATTTTCGAGTACCTCTTTCTTTCACAGACAAAAACGTAGAAAGAGATTTTGATTTCTGACATATATCATAATAGAACAATCAGCCGATCCTCAGCGAGTAATGCTGGAGCATAATGTGACAGGAGGTACAAACTGGAAAAATACAACTGAAGGCAGGGAGTATTGGCATTATCGCATTCGATTTGTCGACATAAGAGAATTTGACATATTTTAAAATTAGAACAATTCCGGAAAAATTTAAATAAAAATGGTAAAGCTAAATAGGAATGCTTTGGTCTAGTGAGTCGTACACATTCCTATTTAGTACCACAATTGTGTGTTTCTGTGTACCACTGAACTCTCATACCGCCGGTCTGCTTAATTCTTAACGACAAATAAAGCCATCCATTTCACACATTACTTCCTAATTAGAATTTTAATTTATTTCAACAAGGAGCAATATATTTTACGTTTCCTCAAAGTGTAAATGACCAGCGCTGAAGTGCGAAACATGAAGTTTAGGAACACTGCTCATTGACTGACTGCTGGCGACTGCCTCGTCGCTATTGCCCATACATCAGCCGTTACTGTTTACTTGGTGACAAACGCGCTGCAGATAATATGATTCTTAAAAACAAACATATCGTTTGAAGTTACTGAACGGAATACATGATGCCATATTATATGAGCACATAATCTTACTTTGGAAGTCGTACGTTCGAGCGAATTGAAAAAGGTATCGCACGAATTCGGATACTGAAGAGTAATTAGGTGTATAAACAGCTCGGAGCAGAAGAACGTCTAGTAAGAAGAATGAGTATTATTTAAAACGTA